GTGCCAAGATGACTAGGCATGGTATGGAATATAACCCGAACTGCCTACGTGCCAACTACGCATAACAAAAGATGTACTTGAACTACCTATATGCCAAAGTGACTAGGCTTTGTTAGACCACCGAGGTCATTGTTAGGTCGGGATTGGGGATCTTTTAGGCTTAAAGCGATGGCGTCCCCTTTGAAGTGTGATTTGGCCAACGTGTGTTCTACACAGGGTGGCTTGACTAGGTCGCTAAAGTGGGTGGTCTTCCATACTTAGTGAAAACTTTGATTATCTGGTTAAGGTCGTGGACACTCGACTCCTAATCTCATGATAATACTTTCTTAGGTTTTCGACGTGATTTGGCCAACGTGTCTCCCTTCCAACTTCTCGAGCTCATACGTCCCTTCATCGATCACCCGTCATACTCAGTAGGGACCTTCCTAGTTCAGGCCCAACTTATCCACACTAGGCTCATGCACCATTTGGTACATCACAATGATGCATGGAAATGGGAGATGCTTTGGAACAACCCTACTTATTGCATCCCTTCATATCTGTCATACACAGGCTGCCTCAGCTGTAGAAGTCCCACTCAAGAGAGTAGAGTTTGGGGAGCACCAACAAGAGGCATAATAATTCTGATGTCCAAGAATGTGGTAATGTCATTCAAGCTCAAGGACCTGAAGTTGTTTACCCCTAGATTGAGAGGGAATTTCTCCTTGAAGTTGAGCATGCTGAGGGACTTACTAAGGATCTTGAGCCAATTGATATTTAAGCTTGAGGGAATTTGAGCCACTCAAGAGAGCCAATTTCTCATTGAGGGAATTTCTCCTTGTAGAGAGTTTTTATTTCCTGATATTTAAGGTTAAAATGCCATTTCTTTTTCTTTTGGATAGATGTTGGGAAGGGAAATTTGTTTCTGATGCTACTCACTAAACTGAAAATATAAGCTCCATGTTGTATCCAAAAATTTTTGCTCTTTATTTGATATTATAATTTTGTAATAACAGTTTCTTGTTTAAGTAATTTCTTGAATGAATACTTAGATTCATGATTCGGATCTATTTATATCTTTGAAACCAATGCATAAAAGTATTCTTTGTTATAGTTATACAGCTCCTAGAGTTATGGTCATATGTTTATATTTCATCAACATGAAATTGAGGAGAAGTTCATCACAAATTACAAGCAATGGTGGAGGTTATCCTGCCACTGAAGTAGCACCCAAGGGTACTCAGCCTGTAAAAGTACATCCTATTGAAGTTTCTGCCATTTCAGTGGATGAATTGAAGGAAGTGACAGATAACTTTGGGACAAAATATTTAATAGGAGATGTCTCGTATTGAAGAGTATATTGTGGCCTTTTGAAAGATGGAAGGGATGCTTCCATCAAAAAGTTTGATGCTAGTAAGCAGCCAGATCAAGAATTTTTAGTGCAGGTTGGGCTTCTTAGCCTACATCAGTATTGCTGGTATGTTATATGCATATTTTTACTGCTAGTTCATCATTTTGATATGACTTTACAGGTTTCCATGGTATCAAGGTTGAAGCATGAGAATGTTGTTGAATTTCTGATTACTTATACCAGATGCTTTTGCAAGACCCATCAGAGCAATTTCTGATTACTGAATGATTATCAAGTGATACCAACTTGTCTCCTCCTGAATGCAAACCAAGGCCTTGGTAGTTATTCCAAAATTGTTTCTGAAGTTCAAGAGAAATCTCTACCTCTATAGAATATGCTTCTTCCAAAACCAGAGTTGTCCTTGATATTCTACAATCTCACAGCAAATTACTTCTCTGATATTAAGGGTTGGGTAGGATTTTAACAAACTTTGGTATCTTCAGAGACCACATTAATGCCCAGACCATGCTGCAAAGCAAAGGGAAATAGACTCGCAGTTTCAAGGATGCTTACTTGTCATTTCACTGAAGCACTCATGTATACAGTATTACAGGAGTCTTGATGGGACATAGACAAGTTCTTAGCAAAATGTGCATATCATAGTTGAAAAATTTGTATCCAATTTAGATGTTGAAAAAATTGTATCCAATTGATTTAATCAAGGTTTTTAAAACCGACTTGGGGAACGAACCGGTCAGGGGTCCGGTTCCCGGATCGAATGGTCGGCCCATTCTGACAAAAAAATAAAAAAATAAAAAATGGTCAAAACCGTTGAATGGTTCGAATGGTTCAATTGCCCGAGTCAGCAATTTGCTGACCAAATCAATGTTTTTTTTTGGCCAAAATCTGGTTTTGCCAAAAAACAGAACCGGTTACCTGATTGATTCCCGGTTTTCCGGTTTGACTGTTCAGTCTGGCCGATTTTGAAAATCATGAATTTAATAATTATATGCTTTAGGTTGAAGCAGGTGCAACTTGCTATTATTATTTAAAAAATAAACTTTAAAAACTAAGCCGACGGTCATAGAAACCACACCGCCTTTAGCAACTCAAAATACCTAAGCCGGCAGTTATAACAGTTGGATTTGATTATATAGTTTAGGTAAGGTGGTGGTTTATTAAACTGGCAAATGGATCCAAGCCGGCAATTTTGACTACCGGCTCAATAACTAGGCCAGCAGTCGGGCTGTTGTCTAACATATCCTGTCCCAGCAGTTTGGGTCGCCGCCATACATTAACTGAGCCGATGGTTTTCTAAAACTCGCCGGCTGTTGAATGATTGGACCGGGTCTCTAAGGCAGCGCTTTTTTTCTTCTAGACTAGCGCTTATGACCAAAGGCGACACAAACAAGGATGGTGGCCACTGAACCGCCGTCTCATATAACCGACCTAGCTCATTTTTCTTGTAGTGAAAAGAGAATAATAATGCTCAAAAGAAAAACAACAACCTCCAAGCACTACTAAGGTGGAACTGTAGACACCTACCACACAAAACATTACACAAAATCAAAAACTCACAACACTACACGAAGCCAAAACCCAACAAAAGGCCTAGACCCAATCCATGCATAAGTTGGCCCTGGCCCAAACGTGAAAATTTTCTGGTAAGGCCCAATCCATGCATAAATTGGCCCTGGCCCTAACAAGAAATTTTTCTCGAAAATTAACCACAAAAATTAGATAAAAAGTCCAAATAAACAGAAACAAACCAACATCACCCAGAAATTAGCCAACGACCGCTGCACTTCCACTGCCTCTTCCTATTGTGCTTCGCGAACCACTCCTGCCTTTTCCTCTAAAACACTCACACATCCTTACAGATGGGATTAACCCCCACGTTGTCATAAAAGTTTGCAAGTTTTTTAGGATTTTAATTTCTTACACTTGGAACAAAGTCCACGCTGCCAGAGGACCGATCCGAGCAGAAATGATTCGAATTTGAGTCTAACGAGCTCAAGGCAATGTTTTTGTATTTATCCGAGTAAGTGTTTCCTGAAAAAAATTTATCCGGGTAAGTTCATTTATCCATGCTCTTTTATTAAAATTGTCATTTTTGTTTCATTAAAGTGTTGACAATTTCCCTCAAGGTGGAAAAGTTATTTACCCACCTAGGAGATGAGTATCACTTACCTGGATATATGATGATTAAGAAAATAAAACTTTCCCTAATCCTAAAAAAGAAAAAAAAAAAAGAGCAAAGTGAATCCATACACAGAAAAATAAAAAAAGAACTAGATGCCCCAAAAATGATTTGAAGACACTGAATTCAGTATTGGAAAGTAATAACAAAATAAGGTATTTTAGAATACCTCTTTCTTCTTTTTCCTCTTCTTCTTCACCAACTTTTAGTTTTGAACCTTCGACCTGTTGGAAATTTATACTTTTGCCAACATGGACACAGGGGAGTTGGTGCTTCAATGTTACAAGTTAAATTTCAAATATAAAAAACGAAACAAAACAGGTTCTTTTCATTGTCTCCCCCACTCGACGGTGGGTTTCATCTGCTAGCGGAGTACTTTACCAACGCTTGTATGGCCACAACATGCATCTCAGCATCCAGGTGGAATCTTTCTGAAGGGATCGATTATCGTATGGCATCAAATGAATCCTAAACATAACGCAATAATGACAAGTTATGGGGTCAATTCCGAGTTACAGTTCCAGTCTTCCAGATGGTAGCCCCACAAATAAGGGCCTCTCTTGACATTTCGGAGGGGTAGGATTAACACCAATTAGGGCCGCGTTTTCGACCTTTGATTGGGCATTACGTGGATTCCAATCTGACGTGTAAAACGTGTCTTATCATGTAAAGAGTCCCTCGCTACATGATGAGGTGGCCATTTGACCAACATGTCGATTTGTTTCAATCTTCAAAACCGCTTTCAGACGACTCTGTTAAGCGATGCGCCAGGGAACCACTTCCTCTTGTCCCAATTGTCCTAGTCGTCTAAATCAATACATTCTCATTCGGACACTGTGTTGTGACTAATCGTGAATTGAAACATCTTCCAATGACAAGCACCAAAGATGTTCCAAATCCACGCTGAGATGAACTCATTTGAGACGGCTTCAGTCATGAGGCTTTTAGCATCCTTATCTGGAGCGACTGTGCCCCGCCCACTTGGAAATGCCACACGATGCATTGGTGAAAATGCGAAAAGTAAATCTGGGCCTCCAAACGCCAAAACCACAACTGAAGTATGAGGCTACTCTAAATAGCTTGTTGAAAACACATGTCCATGGCATCACAAATGCAGAAGCCCTCCCAAATGGGCTCATAAATATAGTTAGGATTATTGCCGAGTTGATCACAATTACATACTAATACGATCGAATTGACCACGTGGCAAAGTCGCAGGCCAGTGGTGCAGGTCTAGAATTCTAGACCAGGCCCATTTGGGAGTTCTCTTTTGATGCGCAGACACCCCATTGGGAGTAGGTATTCTAATCGATTAGTTTAGCCAAAAAGGTTGAATTAATTACGAGGTAGCTTTGACCAAGAATCTTGTTTTGTAGCTCGCCCTTGCCGGCTGAGAAGAACAAACCCTTCTTGAACTTTGATAAATTAATATTAAAATGAGCATTGAACATGTGGTCAATTCAGGTAGTCTCTTACTTTATTTGGCCACAATCTCTCCATGACAACCAGAAATAGGGTGGGTGGTTCGTATAAGAAACCACCCTATTTCATCTTTTTTCTGATAGAAATTGAATGAAAGCTCCCTACTTGACAGTTGACACACTAAAAAACCATTTTGATTTCTTGATAATTTGAGTTCAACTCTGTTAAAACCTGGTCACAAAGTATTTTGGTAAATGGAGTCCAGCTCTCTACATGGATCCTTTCAAAATCCTTCCCATTTCTCTTGATCAACAGTCCGCGCGCAGCAACTTGCAGACCACTGAGAAAAGTCCGAGGACAGATGAAACATAAATCCGAAGCCCAACGCCTATATTTCTGTTTACACCAAAGCCCCATTTGCCAATTCTTCAGCTTTGGTTTCCTACCATGGCTCTCTGCAACACACGATTCTATGTTCTCCGATCACCGACCTTCCTTTTTGTTCAGTTTCAGATGTTGATGATTTTACTCTTAATATTCACTCCATCTGCAGCTTCATTATCCTTCAACTTCACCAGTTTCGATACCAACAGCAGAGAGATCCAGTACGAGGGAAATGCTTCTCCCTCGGACGGTGTCATCCAACTGACCAGAAATCGAATCGACATGTCCGTCGATCTCAGCGTCGGGCGAGCCACATATGAACAGCCAGTGCACCTATGGGATAACGCCACCAACAATCTCACCGACTTCACCACCGATTTCTCCTTTACCATCGACGCTAGAAATAACACCATCCCCGGCGATGGACTTGCTTTCTTCCTCGCTCCCAATGGTTCCACTCTTCCACCGAACTCAACAGGTAGCCCGCTTGGTCTTTTTGAACGCAGACTCATGTTCAACACGACAGAAAACCAAATTGTTGCAGTGGAGTTCGACACTTTCAAAAACCCTTTTGATCCTAGTGACGATCATCTTGGTATCGACATCAACTCTATCGAATCTGTGAGGAATGTGTCATGGCCTCATAGTATGAAGGATGGGAGAAGAGCCAATGCTCGGATTACTTACAATTCCAGTACTAAAGATTTGAGTGTTTTCTTGACGTACGATGACATTCCAGTATTTACAGGGAGCCCCAATCTTTCTTATACCGTTGATCTAAGGGATTATCTACCAGAATGGGTTACAGTTGGGTTTTCTGCTTCTACAGGGAGGCACAACGAATCGTTCCAGTTGCATGTCATCAACTCCTGGGCATTCTCCTCAAGCTTGGAACTGGGTAACTCAAATTCGGAGACGGGTGAAGACAAGAACAACACTGGATTAGTGGTGGGATTGGTTGTTGGTGCAGGCGCCTTGGTTGCAGCTGGCTTGACTGTGGTATGGTTAGTTTTCAGGAAGAGGCTGAACAGAGGCAAAGACGATGACTATGACAGTGAGGATGTGATCTTAGATGACACCATGGATGATGAATTTGAAAAGGGAACAGGACCCAAAAGGTTCTTGTACAAAGAGTTGTCTCGCTCCACAAATAACTTCAGTGAAGAAGGGAAGCTTGGGGAGGGAGGATTTGGAGGGGTTTACAGAGGTTTCTTGAGTGATCTCAACTCAGATGTGGCCATCAAGAGAGTTTCTAAAGGATCTAAGCAAGGTGTAAAAGAGTACATGTCTGAGGTGAAGATCATCAGTCGACTGCGACACAAGAACTTGGTGCAACTCGTGGGGTGGTGTCACCAACGAAGTGAACTCCTCCTTGTCTATGAGTTCATGCCCAACGGCAGCCTTGACTCTCATCTCTTTGGAACAAAGGGTTTGTTGACATGGGAGGTGAGGTACAATATAGCTCTTGGCTTAGCCTCTGCATTGCTTTATTTGCATGAGCTGTGGGAGCAGTGTGTCATTCACAGAGACATTAAGTCGAGCAATGTGATGTTGGATTCCAACTTCAATGCCAAACTGGGGGACTTCGGGCTGGCCAGGCTCGTAGACCATGGGGAAGGAGCACAGACGACCATGTTGGCTGGCACCATGGGGTACATGGCTCCTGAATGCGTTATAACAGGGAAGGCTAGCAAGGAATCAGATGTGTACAGCTTTGGAGTTGTGGCTCTGGAAATTGCTTGTGGGAGAAGGCCGGTTGATTCCAAGGCTGAAGAAGGAAAAGTACGGTTGTTGGAGTGGGTGTGGGAGTTCTATGGACAAGGGAAGCTTGTTGAAGCAGCAGATTCGAGATTGCTAAATCTGGGTTTTGACGAGAAGCAGTTGGAATGCTTGATGATTGTTGGGTTATGGTGCGCTCACCCAGATTACAACCTCAGACCTTCCATAAGGCAAGCGTTGAATGTTCTTAGTTTTGAAGCTCCATTGCCCGTTCTACCTTCTAAGATGCCTGTGCCCACTTATTTTGCTCCTCCATCACAGATCAGCTTGTTTTCGAATACATCATTTTATGGGGCAACGGGTTCTGAGGGATTCCAAGCCCAATCTTCATCCGATGGCTATACTACCAACTCTTCCGCCATATCAAACACGCCTTCTGCATCCTCTGCAACTTCTACTTCCTTCCTGCAACCACAACCACGTTAAGTGCTTCTAAGGCAGAATGGTTGGTTGAGGTTCTTTCATTAGTCGTTTCTTATCTCGGCAAATTCATTGGATATTTTATTATCATCCAACTTTTCTTTGTTAATATTTAATTCCATTTTTTGAACAAAAGTGAGCGTTTTTTGACCTGTAAAAGCAAGTGTATTTTGAGCCGTGTCAATTTTTGTTTTTTGGGTTGATTTGTTGGGGTTGGGGGCTTGGGGCTATGCAATTTACGAGTTATCAAAATTTGTAAATATAATAAAGATAACTATTTGATAATGAAGCATTCCAATGAAACCTTCTTGGGTAAGGTTTGATGATTTGATCTAGCGCTGATTATGGGCCCGGCTAGGCATCTAGTCGGGCTCTTTTTCTTTTTTTGATAGAACAAGATTGGGGTAGCTCTGCCCCATGCTAAAAACTAGTTTAGGCACCAAAAGTAAGTATTTGTCCTAAGTCTATCCAACAAACTTTTGGGCCTAATATAGGTTTAGGCCATAAATGGGAGTGTTTAAAAATAAGTATTTATTTGGACTATTAAGTACTTATCGGTATTTAGGCAATATGTTCAAAATAAATATTTATTTTTTTAGCTCAAATTTCTAATTTTTTATAAGTGTTTATACATTCAATTTTTTTCTTCCAAAATTGTCCCTTGTTGAATTTTAAATTATCATTTAGAAAATTATCCCTATTTGAATTTTATAAAAATATTTTTATGAAAACACTTATAAGAAAGTATTTTTACAAAAGCACTTTTATAAAAACACTTTTGTGAGAGTACTTTTCTGAAAGCACTTTTATGGCAAGACTTTTATGAAAGCACTTTTACAAATGTACTTTTGTGTTTTATAAAGTACTTTCATAAAAGTACTTAACTTAGTCTAGGTTCCAGACTTTGAACGAATCCAAGGCTAAATCTGAAATTTTGTGGGCTAGGCCAGGCTGGTCTTTAGTAGATTGCTACCAAGTACAATTAATGACCACTGACTAGGCCTCACTTGGCGCATCTTTTGCGTGGGCTGCCGACTGTTTAGAACCCCAGTAACTCAAATTTTGGTCTTTTTTGTTTGGTTGGAAAAAAATCTAGTCACCAATAGATGCTGCCCTAAAAAATGTGTGAAGCCCATTTTGGGAAGCTCCAAATGAAGCTTTTTCAATTTTTTTCATCATATCTTCACACAGAAAGATGTGCCTTAACAAACAGGCCGTTAAGATCCTAATACAAAAGCTCGCATCATCTTTTGACTACTAGGTCTATAGGAAGATCTTTCAAAAAAGACTTGGCAAAAAACACCTTCATTTTTTGTTTATGGGCCATACAACTGGAGTAGGCCCATTTTGGGAAGCTCCAAATGAAGCTTTTTCAATTTTTTTCATCATATCTTCACACAGAAAGATGTGCCTTAACAAACAGGCTGTTAAGATCCTAATACAAAAGCTCGTATCATCTTTTGACTACTAGGTCTATAGGAAGATCTTTCAAAAAAGACTTGGCAAAAAACACCTTCATTTTTTGTTTATGAGCCTTACCTACCAGCTAATAGGTACCTTCTAGTTTTTACAATGATCATTGACTCACATTGAACATGCATGAAAGGGACTTGGATCTGCGACCTACAACTTTTTCCCACATCTCTACCCACAACACATTATAGTTGTGCATTAGGAATATCTCTATTATCGTAGCACATTACAGTTGTGCATTGGGAATATCTCTCTTGTCATTTATTGGAGATGTTCTCAAATGACGGTGGTGTCTTGTGGGTAAGGATGTGGGAAAACTTAGTGGGTAATAGATCTGAGTGGCATGAAACAGCCTTGAAGTAAGGAAATATTGTATTTTGCCGGTATTCATTTCCTTTATCTTCCTAGGCTGATTTTATATATGATATAATAAGAACTTTGGGAAGGTGACAGCTTTTAAAGTTAAAATATTCTTCTTAAGAGATAAGAGTTAAGAGGAAACAAACATGCTCTTAGAGAGAAAGAATGGAAAGCCAAAGGAGATAAAATTGGGGGCAGGGAGGAGAGAGAATTGAAAGTTGAGATAAGTGATTGATTGAAATGGGTACCCATAACCCAACCCACCTAAATACAGCCAATTGGTTATTTGACCGGCCCATTTGTCAATTGTCACCAATTAGAACCAGGAACTGAACTAAATGAGTGGTTTGGGTTGAAATTGAGACTATCTGAGAATTCCTAACACCAACCTCACAGCACTGTACATTGGTAACATCTCAGATATCTTGTCTTTTTATTGAGAGATAGTTTTCAATGCACGACAAGATGTGCTGTAAGGATGGTGTGAAGAGCGTTCTGTGACAAGCATATCTGAATTCATTGAAACTGCACCTTTCAAAAAAAAAAAAAATCATTGAAATTGCAAATTTGTATCCCATTAAAGTGTCCACTCCATGCTGGATTGTTTCTCTAGAGAGCAAACAGAGTTCACATTACCTGTGATTTTGGTTGCAGAACAGTTCAGCGATCTCTCATGAAATGCGAAAACGCATCACATCAGTTGATTTTTCATTTTAAACACCGGCGTGTTCATATTTCGTTGGGGTCACTGAGTTGTTCTGCCACCAAGGTTTCAGATAATGTTATTTCGAGTAAACGATGATTTTCTTTAGTTTATGAATACAAACACCATTCACATTTTAAATCCTTTTTGCATTCATTTTGTTTGTTTTAAATCTGGGCCCATCATTAAATGCTCCAACTATCTTATACTCTAATGTATTAATTTTAATCAAAAAAATATAAAATGCCCCAACTCGGAGTTTGTATCGCAAAGAAACAGAGCATACGGAACAAATGGCTTATGCTGTTCCATAAAAAACTCCGACTGATTAAAAAGAGGAGAAAAAAACGGAACCACCAAATCCAACATACATTCTAATAAAGACCCTGGACCACAAAAACGAGATTTTGCATTAATTACCCAAGAGGGGGGGGGGNGGGGGGGGGGGGTTTCAACAGAACTGTAGGGAGAGGTGAGACTCTCCGGTCTCCAAAGGTCCCTCAACCGCCCATGCATCTAATGAATTACCAGAAACTGTTGCAGTTTCTGGATCATAAAAAGCCAGACACCCATGAAATTGCAGAAGCAGAATACCATTTTCAGTAATAAACAATGGTCTCACAGGCCATCTATGGGATGGAATTAGCATTGATTCCTGAAACGAGAACTGCTTAGTCCATGATTCCTTCACTCCATATTCCTTCATCATCCATATATCAACACGGTGCTCAGGCTCTAACTTATAGCAGTAGTTACAAACCATAAAGAGGCACCCTCCCAAATCCTCTAAAACCATGCCACAATCTTCATCCACAAAGTCTGGTAATGGCACCTTCCCAAACTTCTCGGTCTTAAGATCAAAAGAAACGATCAAGTTGGGTCTGTCTGCTTCATTGCCAATGCCAAGTAATGCTAGCCAATGAAGAGCACAATTGACAGGCTTCCCTTCTAAAAGACCTAGAACATTGAATGGAGGAATTCCATCAACTCGTTTCCAAGAATTCCTTCCTACTGTGTAAACCTTGAACTCATATTCATAAGAGGCACCATCCACATTGTAAACTTTGCAATCCTTACAATCTTGAAATTAATATATATTAATATTTTATATTTATATTTAATTTTTTTTAATACAGGAAAGTAGGAAAATTCCCATATTTATTAGTATAAAATATTTTTAATCATAGATTTAATTTTTGTAGTTTATTTTTTAATAATATCATTGTAATTTATGAAATTTAAAGTTAATTTTTAAGTTTAAATCTTTTAAACAAACAAACTAAACCGAAAATAGATCCAAATCAGTACAACCTTACTTGGTGGATTTACGCTAATGGTCAATCGGTTTCGAGTGACAAATTGCAGACTTGACCAGATCGGTTTGATTGGCGAAACAACCTGCAACTGAATTGAACCAATTATTGAATACTCCTAATTTCAACTAAATTTATAGTCTAATCTCTAATAAATAACAACAGTTTAATCTCCAATAATTATTGAAAATTTATAGCAAACATACACAATAATTGAATATAAGTTTATAATGAAAATATAATAGATATATAATAAAAATACAACAATTACAAAAATATAATAAATACTAAAAGTATACTAAATTAGTCAATAAATAGCGTAATCTCAAATAATAGTTTAATCTCTAATAAATATTAATAAATAAATTATAAAAAATATATAATTACTAAAAATAAATTTATAACAAAAATACGATAAATTAAATTTCAAAAGTTAAATAATAGTTGTTTAATCCCCAATAATTATTGATATTTTTCTATTAAATAAGAAAATAAAAATACATTTATAAATTATTATTAAAATCATATTTATAAAAGAACAATACATATTTATTGAAAGCATATTTAATTATAGTATATATAAATATATAATGAATATACACTATTATTTTAAAATTATTACTAATAAATATAATTTGGGAAAATTCCCTATAGGTACCTTGTACTTTAGGTCGAGTGCCAATTTAGTACCCGTACTTTAAATCATGACAATCTAGTACCCAAACTTTCAATTTGGGACAATTTGGTACCCAACTTTAGATTTCCGTTGGTTAGAGGATAAAAAGTCTTAAATACCCCCAATGCTATTTTGACCAAATAAAATAATTAAAATAACCCACCCAACAATGCAAGTAGGAACCACTGTTCATACTTGCATTTACAAAGACGTCGAGAACTAGCTCCCTCATGCCGGTGGTGTCAGGCGAATGCACCATCTGGAAACAACCTAAAGTACACGGTTTAAAGTACGGGTATTAGTTTCTTTATCAAGAAACTAATTGGATCTCGATAAACTGATACTTCTCTTCCTATTGTTCTTCTTCTTCCTCTGCAAGAATATCTGCTTTGAATTGGAGTTCGATTAATTTTACGTTTTAATTACCTAGTCTACTTTTTTCCCCTTGAAGCTTTTCATGTAGGAGGAGCTCTGCAAACGAAGAAGAAGAGAGCATGGTGTTTTCCAATATTTTCTTCATCCTGATTATCATTTGCTTCAGTGCCGCTGTTGCTGTTTCTAGCCAACATGGACTTAAGTTCAATGGTTCTTCTATTCCTTGATGGTATTGAACTCCCCGATCACCTAAGCTTCAATTCAGTCACAACTTCAGAAAATACAGGGTGCTGTCTCACAAAGACGAAGACTTCTTCGCATAAACCAACAGAAACAACCATTCTAAAGGAAGAAGATGGTGATGGCGACAGAGATAAGATAGTAG